TGGGACTAAAAATTGATGTGATTATATTTATATATATTATGTGATTATAAAAGGGGTATTTTCTTATTTAAAAAATCGGAACTGAACTATAATGTGACTAAAGAAGGGGAGTGATTATATAGGAGGTGACTATAGAGGGGTCGACTGTAAAGTAATAAGAGAGGATTATTCCCAGTGACAGCATCAAGTCATACTGCTTTTTCACCAGATGCATTCGTTGCCAAATATATGAATCTTAGTTTTGAAGGAAAGGCGCCAAAGATATACAACATATGTTTTGGTAATAGTATTCAACAAGATATGGTTTTTCTATTAGACCATCAAATTTCTAAGTTACGTGAATAGCCAAAAGGATTAAAACAAGTTCTAATAGAAAGGAAATTATGGCCAAATGAAGGATTAAAATTGGAAAAAACACAAAAATTAATGTGTGAACAATCAGACTTTTTAGCGTAAAAGTGGTGACTAGAAGAGGTTATTGTTGCAGTTAAATATCAAGTTATATTTTATCTTAAATTTCATTATAAGCTTAACTATATTAAAAACTTCTGAGATGCAGCCAAAAAATTTAGCCAGCTATATTGTGATTACTTATGAACAGGATTACAAGAAACTGTTTCATTAACCCTCACCTCTATTTCACTTATAACTATTTGCTGGTATATAAAAAAGATTTTCTTTATATCAGAAAGGCCTAATAGGCAAAGTAGCAGAATTTGCAGTTAAAAAGTATTATTCACACTGTCGGGTTTCTGATTCAGTCTTACAATCAGTTGATATTTAGTAAATTGGTTTTTATTTACATAAATTTATTTGCATTGGCTACAAAAAAAAAAAGAGAAAAATTTAGTATTATGCAAATATCAATAATAACAATTAATGCAAAATACGTAATAAACTTATTTTTTTTTAAACATTAATGCTTTTTAAAATAAACATTTTATTATGAAACATCTGATTATATCAAAAGTCTGTCCAATTTTTTGTAGGTGAATTCTGGGAGGATAAGATCATTTTCTTTTAACTAAGTTGCCACTAATCATAGCAAGATTGCTTGAAAATGATCCAACTTGGTAACAGAAAACTTGTAACAAGGGGATTTAGGAATCTGAACAGGTTTGAACTTTGATATTTTCAAGGTTTCATACTACCTTTCAAAAGGATTGAGATTTTCCTAATCAGATCATCATAACATATCATTCTTTGTTATTATTGACATTTCGTGATGTGACAGAACACAGAATAGGAGACGAATTTGTTTTATTTTTAGTAACATGATTAAAGATAACCAGTATTACAAAAATATAAATCAGCTAATAAACAATAGAAATTATAATCACGTATATCATGTGTAGAGCGGCTAAAATATCTGATTTAATAATAAAATAATCTGACTTGAATTGTTAATACTTTACTAAAATCATTTTATAAAAAAACTAAAATCATAGTTTTGTTAAGTTTGAGTTATTCTATCATTTTATGATTATATTTTATGTTTATCATTTTTTTTGAATTAGTAGTAGTAATTTAAATTTTATCAATTTTATTGTTGTGAATAAGTTGTTACACTGTACTACTTTTAGAATTCATTTTAGATAAGTCTAATTTCAAAGCTATTTATACGATAATCTTTTAATTATATAGATCTTGATAAATATCTTATTTAGAAAATCTAGTCTTTTAAAAACTTTGTTGACAAATTTACAACATCTGAACATTAATTTTACATAACTAATAAATGAAGATTTTTTTATTAAAAAGGGTAAAACCCATTATCAAACATCATTTCTATCAACAATCAAAATCTTATGTCACATCATGTATTTTGAATAACTAATAATTGGTAAAAGCTTTATCTTATACCCTATAGTGACATTAAACACAAATTCTTTAGATCTCTTTTGCAAGTCAGAAAATTCCAAATTGATATCTAGATTATAAAAAAGTTATTGAAAATCCAATTTACACAAATAGATTATTTTTACAGTTTACGTCAAATGTTTCACATCTATTAGAGTTTGTTTTTTTCACCTCAAATCAAAATCAAAAAAGAATAAATTGGACTTCCTTTTGGGACAGCACTTATTAACAAATAATTATTAAACATTCAACAAAATTTTTTCTCAACTATATACTATTTTATTTCACTATTTTTGTAAAAATAATTTACTATATAATTATTATTTTTGTTTAAAAAGCAATATACTTATACAGCATGTCTTGGCTATCATCATAATTCAAATGAAGATAAATCAGATTAATATTTAACATTTTATAAAGAAATTAATACATTTCTTTTTTAATTTCATAGGCCAATTTACCTGCTATACAAGTCTAAGGAATAATGTTTATTACATTCTTTTAATTTACAAATTATTTATTATCTTTGATTACTATTGTATTTTTTTATCATATTTTTGTAAAAATAATAATATTTTAATATTTTTGAATTTTATTTTATGTATTAACTTTATTTCTGATTTTACAGATATTTTTTAAATTTCGTAAAATTATCTGTTTAAACTCAAAGAACAGATCATACACGTTTTATTTTTATATTACTTGTATCTTTTCTATTTTTCTAAATATTTTCTAGTTGATTATATATTTGTATATAGTTTAAGAGTAATCTTGCAATGTCAATGAAATGGTAAACGGATTTTATTCGGGCAAGTTTCTATGAAATTATAACATCATTTGAATTGATTAGTATTATCCATTAATAAATTTTAAGGTATCTGTTAATGTTGATCTCCATAACCAATTGGAAGTTATTATAATAGCAATTACTGTTACTGCAACTGCAAATATTATAGGTTGTTTTTTGTTTGAATTTGATTTCTTCGAATTGTTTACAGGTTTTTTAACTGAAGGTGGATTAGAAAGAATTTTATCCACAACTGAATAGTCAGCTTTTAATTCTAGCCAATGCTTTTCGTATAAATTCACACAAGATCTATGAAATAAAGATAAGTTAGATTACGATTATAACAAACAAATACAATAATAATAAGCGGATTTCAGAAAGTACTTTTCATCCAATTCTTCATTGGATTCCTTTTGAAGTTTATGCGGTGGATGCTTATGATATAGTTGAATGGTTTCTGAAATCAATCCATCAATATTAATATGTTGAGGGAATTTAGAAAGGAATGTATGAACAGTTGCACTATCGCTTTCTAATGTTAATAACTCCTTACGACGGCTGATGATAACCTTTGTGAAAAAAAAAGTAATAAACGTACATACAGTTAATATTTCATATATAACGTCTGATAAATCAAATTATTATTATTTACCCTAGCAGCTAGATAGATTGTAATTAAAGGATCCGATGCAATAAAAAAATCGAATAAACGAATGACTTTTGAATAATCATGAATATCATGACTACACCAAGTAATGACCCAACTGAGACAAAAATATGGTAACGTATTTGATTCCTCAAGAAAATTTGCAATTTCTGAGTCTTCCAAACATATCAAAGTATTCAAGAGATTAAGTTGTCTTAAAATAGGGTCTAATGAATCAAGCATCGCATCCGTTCGCCGAAGTTAAGGTATAATGAATAAATATTTTCAAGAACAGAACAATCTAATAGATGTAAAAGGATATCTTAATAAAAACATCGCAATATTTTCTCCTGCTTTAATAGCATCATTCTTCCCCAATAAAATTAGAAGGCATAAACAAATATCATGAAATCCCTAAATGCAATTATTATTAATAAAGATATGATAAACATGTATAAAATCTTAAAATAAATACCTGATAATATGATAGTTTGGGATGTCTCCGTAAAATTCCTACGATAACATCATTCAGTTCAGATTGCTTCTTTTTTTTTTGAACATGATTTAACCCTTTGAATTTATGAAAGATAATTAGAATGGCAATTAATATGATAATTTAAATATTTAAATATTTAATTACCCTGAGGAAAGTAAACACATGATCGTTCGACATCAAGTAGAACTTGATGTTCGTCATTATGTACCTCTAGAGAATAATCTTTCATAATCTTTAATTAGTTTAAATTTAAATATATGAACAGTAAAACATATTTCAATTCACATGTCCGGACCTTGAGGTTTGTTTTTGTCCTTGTAATGATCAAAATGTAAAAGTAATGGCCTATATTGAAGTTGCAAATAAAATTAAGGATATAATGTATAATTTTAATTGTAAACATATTTAACTTACCAGCATAGTCGTCGTAACCCATCATCAACCAACCCAGGACCTGTGGTTGCCAATATTCGAAGTTCTGAAACATCCTTTTTTGATAAAGCATCACTGATCTGACGCCTTCTTTCCTGCCAATCTAAAATTGGCTTTTTCTTTAGACCGACATTTCTCTTTCGTAATTTAGTTCTACTTCTCTTTGACATTAGAAAAGTATGTTGGAGTTTTTATAAAGTAATAAAAATATTTCACAGAAATTCAACGTCTATATATTTAGGTTTCTGAATTATCTAATGTCTATAAAGATCCTAAATAATATATAATATAATATATTTTTTTTAATAAGCACAGTTTTGTTGATTTATAACAAAATGACTTCATAAATTCAACGAGCTAATCACTATTTCTAGAGTTTGCGACAAGTTTTTGTTTGATTATAGCACGCAAAAAGAGAAGAAATTGCAAAGTATCTCATGAAGGTTTAAATGAGGTTATAATGAGAAGTAATAATGAAAAACGAAAATAACTTCTCGAAATAATGCGAGACATAAATATGTATTCTTTGGTTTGAATATGCGTTTAACGAACCTATGAAACTGCTTTCGTTGATGTTAACTTGACTGACTGTAGGCTAAGGATCACGATCCGATTATTTGACTAATTGGTTAAGAACCTGATTTTCTTAGATCACAACCTATATTTCTAATTTTAAAGAATTTTTTATTTTAAGTTTAATTAATAAAACAATTTATTTATAATAATAATTAAAGGAAAATTTCATTTGATACAACTATATACTATATGCCAGTGATGGGTTTTGAACATGTTTTTTTAATTTTGGATAAGGTTTTAGACATATTAAATGGTGTTCAAAACTTATCCAAACTATTCAAAATTGTTCAAATTCCTAATACTGCTGTATGTACCTAGACTTATATAATAAACTGTCATATCATATCATATCCACCATGTTTCATTTTTTACTATTTAATCTGAAAACAGTTTTTTTAATCCTATTTGTCACTTATTATTTGTCACAAACACTACATTTAAACTTATGACGTGAAATTATAATTAGGTAAATTGAGATTGGTTTATTAAAATTAGTAATATTATACATAGTGTGCATATAGCGCATAATGACCAAATAAATATTTCTATAATTAAAAAGATAAATTTATTATTAAAAAATTTAATTATTAGTATATAAATAAAAATTATCTTTAAATTCATTAAGACTAATTAGAACTTTTTATGTTTTTACCAATCCTAACTATAAATCAATTTAAAAGTCAAATTATTTGAACTACATTAGTATAAATATAAGTTATATTTAAATTATAGAAACATTAAAAAAAAAAATATGTTTTGTTTAATAAGAAATCAGTTTAACAATTGAGTCATTTATGATTGAAAAATTACTATCTACTTAAAAATTAGAATAATTTGTGATTAGAACAATTAGTACCTTTAAACCATTTAGCTGACCAATTTCTGAATTATAAAATTTTTGGTTATTGGTCAGTCAAAATAGCCAAAAAAAATTTTTTTTGGTCAAACTAAAATAATATTATTATATTAAAATAATAAATGCATATAAATAAAATTAGATAAAATATGTAAGAATACTAATAATGTTTATCAAAACTATTTTTCATTAACTTAAACTAGTTTTACAAATTTTAGGATTTTTAATTTACCAATTTTCTCATAAGTTTCATCATATAGGAGGCAGTTAATAGAAAAAGTGAAAATCTAAAATTTTTACTAATTTTAATTATTAAGCTAATTTTATCTGAAATCAGCTAAATGATATAAATAATATAAATTTTGATCAAAATTTGAAAATTTTCCTTTTCTACTAACTGCTTCCTATATAACTTATTTTTACAAAAATTAATTTTATCAAGTTTTTAACATTTTAAATAGTATCATTAAATTATACAACTTATTAATAAAAATAACTGTTCATATTTTATTAAACCTTACTTGAAAATCATGATTTTTGTAAAATTTTTTTTATATTATAAATGGAAAAAACAAATAAAGTTTTTAATAGTAATTTTTTTAATAAAATTTTTTAATATTTATTAGAAATTTTTTCATTTAAAATAAATATAATGATAAAATACAAATTTTATATATTTTTAATTAGTATTATATTTACTAATAATATCAAATATATATGTTCTTTTTAAAAATAATTATATAAATAATTATTATAATCTTTAACATAATTTTATAATTTTTTCAATTAATATATAAAAATTAATTTTCTATATATTTAAATTTATAATATTGATAACATATGAATTATTATAATTAATCAAAGCATATATTATATATAAATAGTATTTATTTTTAATTTATATAGCAATTAGTATTATTATTCAAAAAAATCTGTAATTTAGACTTATTGAAATTAGTTTAGTTAAGTGTTTTAAAACTAGTTTAATTAATAGCTAAAATTCAAAAACTAGTTTTATTTAACTGAAACTAATTTTTAGTAGTTTAGAATAGTAATTTTAATGTAATATTTTAATATTATAGATTATTATATATTAATGTTTATTTTACAAAAATAATTATTCAAATATAACTGATAATATAAATTTTAAAAGTAATCATATGAGCTAATTCTATACATTATAATAAGTAATACTCATATAATATAAAAAGAAATATATAATTAATTTTGTATAATAAAATATAAATTGGCAAATAGCAAAGTAAAAATTTAACTTTTGCTTAATATTTCTTCTTAAGCAAAGAATTGGTTAGAAATTAGTTTTAGATGTAAATTTAAAAAGAGCTTTATATGTTATAGAGTATAATTATAAAAATTTTTAGCTAAAAATATAAAACTTCACATTGTAATATGATAGAAAATCAAGTATTTAAAATTTTTTATATTATTTATATTTAAATATGATTATAAAACTTTAATTATTTAAATTTAAAATTTATAATATTAATTATACTATTTATTTATTTTTTATAAGAATTTAATTTTGATGATTTTGATAAAATAAAATCTAAATTATTTTCTATTATAATAAACTCATTTATGTTTGTAATTATGTAATAATTATAAATTAAGAATAATTGAACTTAAAATTGATAACAAATAGTAATAATTGATTTTGATTTTACTTTAATTTAGATTCTATAGCTTATTATGATATTATATTTTAAGAAATTGATGAATATTTGATTTTATGAAAAAGATATAAATTATTTGTAATAGTTAATTTAAATATTGAAAGAGAATATCATATTAAAAAGCATTACTATTAAATCAATAAAATTATGAATAATCTAATCCTTATATATGATTATTTTATTAAAGTTAAATTTTTAGCTTTAAAATAATAAAAAATGGCAAAAAACAGTAGATGTCATTGCAAAAAAATTTTAATTTAATGGTGATATTAATAATCAAAATAGATTATGTTCTTTTTGATTTATTAAATCTTTTTTAAATATTATAGTTTCTATTTAAAAAAAGAATATTTACTTATTTTAGCATTTAAAGATGTAATTAAATTAAAATCCAAAGGAGATAGATATATTATAATAAATCAATATTCTCATATAAATTTTATATTATATTTATTAAATGAAAAGAATAAAGTTTTAAAATCAAGTAAATAATATTGCTAAGTTTATTATGAATTAATAATCATTTATTATTTAATTTATTATTAATATTAATTTATTTTTTTTAGTATACTTTTATAAATAAATTAAAAGAGATAAAAGATAAGTTTAAAGATTGTGATGATATTATTTAATCAATTATAAAGATAGAAATTGTAATTAATATGTTACAATTTTTAATGTTATAATATATATTACAATTAGTTTTAACCTATATATATTGCACTTATAATATTGCAATATATGTTGCAACTAATTTTAGCTTAAGTTTTAATAATTTGTAAATTTGAAATTAATTAATATATCATCATCTTTAGTTAGTTAAATTTTTTTTTTCTGATAATTAAAAATTTATAATATTAATTATAGAAATTAAAATTATAAATTTCAATTTTTTATTTATACTGTACAAAAAAATTGCATTCTAATATAGAACTTTTATGAAATATTATTAGACATAAAAAAGGTAAATAATAATATTATTTTTTAAAAAATTTATTTAATATTTATCACCTTTATATTATTAGGATATATAAACTTATGTTTATTTCCTATGATTGTAATTGAAAATTAGATTACAGATTAATTACATGTATTACTAATGTTTTACTTAAATTTTTTTTTACCAATTTATGAAAAATATAAATCAATTAAAAAAAATAGATTAATTTTAATTAAAAAAAATGCATTATATTAGATTAGCTTATTTTCAATTTTTTTAATCAAAAACAAAAAGCAAATATAATTGGACTATTTGAAATAATGATGAAAAATTAAATATATTTAAAAAATTTTGAAATATCTAAATTTGTTTTTAATGAATATGATAAAAAAATGTAATTTTATAGTAAAAATTTTTATGATTATATTTGTTTTTATATCAAAATTATATTATTAATAAAGAGATTAATTCATTTGAACAAGTAGTTAAAAGTTAGATTTTAAAATTTTATGAGCTAATTATTAAAAAATTAAATAATGCTAATCAAAAAAAAAGAAATATTTAATCTAACTGATATTACTTCTTATATACATATATATTTACATATTATATTTTTTAATTTTTTAACATTTTAAAAAATAAAAATTTACTTTTTAAACATTTTTCTATTTCTAGCTTTAAAAAAAATCATAATATATTTTTAATTTATATATAATTAAAATATAATTGTAAACTTAATAAATTATTAATTTTATAGATTTGTATATTTTTTAATATAACAATAATGGATAATGAAAAAAAACAAATTCTGTTATTCATAATATATTAGTTTATAAAAACTGACAGTTTATTTTTTAATGAAAGATACGGAAGCTTTGCAGTAGAAAGGAAGGAAACTTTAAAAAAATTTAAAATTTTACTTTATAAGCTAAATATAATTTTTTTTAATTAAATAAGTTTAGATTTAACATTATCTTAAAAAAATTTTTTTTAGAGTTCCTTCGATTTCTGCTACAAAGCTCTTATATATCAAAACCTATAATATAAAAAACAATTATTATAAAAAAATAATTTTTTAATAAATCAATTTATTATATATTAAAA